TTTATCATCAGTATGATTTTCTTTCTTGCTGCTCAATGAATATACATTTTATTGCTGAGCATCAGGAAAAATGGCAATTAAAGAATAGAGCCATTACATTTGGGTCTGCCTTTCTCTTTCTGTGAAGATGCCTCTTTTTCATCTGCTTTATGTCCATCCTTGGTACAGAGTAAGGCTTGCTCAGAGGCAGGACTTTGCATTTTTTTGCATGGGCTTGAGGGCCGTGCTGGACTCAGCAGTCATATCCAAACCACACTGATCTGGACATACTGAAGCATGGCTTCTGGCAGCCCTGGCACAGGACCACCACTGCCCCAGGACCACCATGGGCCCAGGAGCCTCTGGCTGGAGCCCAGAAAATAGGCTTCCATGCACATCCCACCACCTCCCTGATTCATAGGAACTGCAGAGATGCTTTGGAATTTGTACAGTCATCTGACTCAACGCCCAAGGGCCAGAGAAGGGGAAACAAGCCTTCACTTGACAATCTGGAATGTTCTCTGATTGTCTACTGTGAGTAACAGCAGTTGCCTTTGCAAAGAAAGCAAGCTCCTATGGCATCCACTGAGCCCTGCCCGACTCCTGCTTCTGGTGAAAAGGGCTTTGAAGTCATATTACATCATGTCTCATTTGGACCTCATTCATTGAGTTGAGTTTTTTTTTTTTTTTTCCCAGCTCAGTTGGGAGTGGAGGTTGTAAATGATGTGCTAGATAATCACTCGGAAGTCCTGTTCCTGATGCTTGAGGGGTCACCCCGCCCGTGTCAGACCCCCAGCTCTGACACAAGACAATTCCATGACCATGGGCCCAGCATGTCTCGGCTTCTTCGTTTTCTTATTTTAAAAACAGGGATGATCAAGAGTCTGCTCCTGGGCTGCTCTGGGTATTCAGTGTGGCAGTGCAGACACGAAGTTGGTGCCCAATAAATGCCACCTGCACACTATTGTCTTAAAATCCCAGGGACTTTGGAGCTGGAGGATCCACAGCATTGAGCAACACAAGCAGAAGTTATAGCAGGAAGCAGAGGGGAGCAGGTGGTGGATCCATGTCTCCAAGACCGTGCAGGTGGCTCCAGGGCTTACAGGCACATAGATCCAGTGCACCCAGGGATAGTCAAATGTGCATGTCATTCTGATGGCCTGCCCTGGTATTCAGGGCAGTGATGGACAGTGTAATCTGGAGCTTCTGGAGTGAACCAATTGAGACTACATGGGTATGATTCAGGGGGAGGACTGCTGTGTTTTCAAAGTAACAAGAAGGGCAGAATGGTAGGGAAACCTCGTGAAGGGGCAGGTGCGCTGCAGGCCCTTGAAGAGTACGTTGAGGATGTGGATTGCACGTAGGTGCTGTGCTGTCTGCAGTGGCCAGATGACATCTGAGCAACTCAAGTGTCCCCTTTGTGTGTTCAGTGAACATGAGAGAACATTGACAGTGGTGTCAAAAGAGGTTAGGAGCCAAGGCCGTCAGCGATAAGTGTCCAGCAAATCAGGGGAGCAAGGATCGCTGTTACCGTCCACGTCCATGAGGGCATTCCACTGGGCTGGGATGGCCAAGGCTGCTTCTGGGGGAAGGGTGGACTTTTCAAAATCAGCAGAGGAGAGGAGGTTTGCGAATTTGCTGCCCAGTGTTATCTGCGGCAGGAATGGGAACTGAGGCATGGGTGAGTAGGTAAGATGGGAAACAGATTGCCCAGTACAAGCGTACAGGGCCTTGAACGAGAGCTTAGAGAGCCACTCTGTCCTTGCTTTGCTGTTCTTGAGAAATGTGCCTGGTTGTGCTATTGAGGTGACTGTGCAACGGGCCATGAGCTGGGCGTGCCAGGCTCACGTGTGTCTCTGGGCCTTGGCAGTCTTTGTGGACAGTCAAGGCTGTTACAGAACAAGCTGCCAGAAGAGTTGAGAGAGTCTCCATGAGTGAGTCCACTTAGAGGTGAGTGGTGGAACTCTGCGCCCTTAGGCAGGGACAGGGGGTTGTCAAAGAGGAGAGTAATTCCCTAGATGGGTTTGCAGTTCAACAAATGGAGACTTCTGACTCCAGGTCACATAAATGCTGATCACACCCTTGGAGTTCAGGTGGGGGCTCCAGATGGAGGATGGGAAAGGCTGGTTTTCAACGAGGCTGGACACATGGGGGGTATTTGTGGCGCTGAAGAGGGAGGAGAAGGAACATCTGGCTGAGAATGTTCAAACTCTGAGAAGAGCAGAAATGGACGCACAGAACAGGATGTCAAGAGAGACCACAGCTGTCAATCTCATGGAAACGAGAGGAGAGTCTTCGAGATCAGAGCCGTGGTGAGCCACGAGGATGTGAAAAGGGGGCCCACACCCCGTAGTTGTGGACTGGACAACATGGGTCCTACAGAGTGACAGACAGGGACTACCAGATTCTGACTGGCTCGGCACACACCGCCCAGGGCCGCCCACCCTCACAGTTCACCCGGCTCCCCTCCACCTCAGGGGCTTCTGTGCACCCCTGGGCAGGTGTGTGGACTGCGTGACAGGAGCTTCTCCCTTCCTTGAGCCTGTGGAGAGCACCCAGAACTCTGGGGCCAGAAGGAGCATGTCCCAGCCCTTCCTCTTTGTGTCCCGGGAGGTCTGATTTGCCGCCCTCAGAGCAGCCCTTCCTCTACTTGTGGACCCTCAAGGCTGTTAGAGATCAAGCTTCCAGTTCCCCCACACCGGCTCACGGGCCCGGGCGCCCCCTTTATCTGCTGGAAGCAGCAAGGATTTCCGCCAGGCCAGGCGTCTCCTGCCCAGGGCTCCTCTCCACTCCTCCTCTTGGAGGAGACCCTTCTCATGTGCACTTCCACCTCCTGCCCTGGGCCCTCACCTGGCTGCGTCTCCACCTGTGCACCTGCTCAGCCCTGCGCCAGCTGTTGCCCTGTTGAGTTGGCCGCAGGTTCCAGACTGTAGCAGGTGGGGACTGAACTCAGCTTCAATGCAGTGCTGTCCCTCTCTTCTCAGAAGTCTGCAGTGCCCTCTCTTGTCTCCAGAACACAGTCAGTCACTCTCCTGTAGAATCTTCTGCAAACCCTCTGAACCCCTGGCCTGCTTTACTTCCAGAACAATCACTGGTTCCCTCCCCTGGCCTGGGGCAACCTTGAGCTTCGCTGCATGTTCTCCTTTCCCTCCCACCAGGTGGGTCTCCCCAGCCCGCTCCTCCTTTCGCATTCTCCCCTCTCCAGGCGGCTTGCAGCAACCACAGGGCTTTGTGAGTCCCTGCCGGCAGAACGCACCTGTGGAACCTGTACCCTGTGGACCCGCAGTCCCCTGTGGTGCTCGGGCTGCGTGTCACTCCCAGTAAGATAGGAGCTTCTCATCAGGGGAGACTTCCTCGCCACGGTGTTTCTCGGTTATTCAGAGGATGTTCATAAATAATTCCTCATTTTATCTAATCGATCCCGGGTAATGCACATGTGCTATTGATTAGGTTCTGGGTTTTTGTTTTTATAATCTAAACTGACTTTCTGTTTTGATTCTAAGAGAAAACATCTAATTTATAATTCAGTTTTGGAAACTTGATCATGTTTTCCTTCTCCTGCCTCAGATCCCCTGTCTCAGTAAGATGCCAGGTGAGCTAGACATGTGTCCTAGTGGTGGACCGGCCTGCCTGCCCCTCGGTCCCTCATCCCCCTCTAAGAGGGAGCCTCTCACAGAACCCCAAGCCCTTTCCTGTTTTCGTGCCTGGATTTCCCACTTGTGCACCAGGTTAGGCCCCAGGCTCCCTTCCACCTGTCTGGGTTCTGGATTGCTCAACACTAACTGCTGGGCTGCACCCTTTCCTACCTTCTGCTGCCAGTATCTAAATACAGTAGGCCCCCTTGCCAGCGGGGGATGTTGCCACTGCTTATGGCAAGGGCCCTTTCTCCAGCACCAGGCTCTTGAGGTGTCTCAGGTCCAGGGGCAACTGTGACTTACCCTGCCCAGTGAAGTCAGCCTTCACGAGGAGGTGTTTGTACGTTTAGCCAGGTCAGTCGGCAGGCCTTGTTAGATGCCGATAGGCTCGCATGGACTTCCCTGAGGAACTACCTGTCTCCTGTAACTGGAACAACGTGCAGTGATTTTCTAATGGTTTTTAATTTAGGAATCATGTATATGTTTAATCAATTAAACCATGTAGTTAATGATGCTTTCAGACGAGAGGAGTAATTGCTTTGGTACTTAAAGTTCTCTGGTTGAATTCATTCCAGTGGATAGTTATTGCTCCTTTTATCCGGTCCTCTTTATTAACCAAGTCACTTCTGGCAATGCAGGGGGTCCCTATCACCATGGTTCCCAACCTTGCAGGCAGACAGATGGGTTCCCAAGGTGCACCTAGCAATGGGAACACCGAAGTTTTGAGTTGAGTGCTACTGACAAGTAGTAGGTAGAGGCCAGGGACACTGCTCAACACCCTCAATGCATAGGACAGTCTCACCAGTGCCGAGTGGAGAAATGTGAGAGATAACAAAGTCGTTTGGGGCCGCAGGATTACTTCTATGCCTTTGGCGGCGGGCAGCGGGGGTGGTGCTGTTAAAATTCCCTGGATTCCAATCCATGGTGCATCTTTAGCTGTGGACAAAATGACCTGTGACCCGTGGACTCAGCAGACACACACACTTGGTGTCCTCTCCATTTCCTGCTCTCCCTCCCTGCTGCCTCTCAAGAGCCTTTTCCAGAATCCAGGTGGACTACTCTTCTCTGGCCCTTCCCCCATCAACGCTGCTTCAAATTCTCCTCAGTAGAGAAGTCCCTCTGTCCCCTCCCTCCAGGGCTCCCTTGTGACACGGTGACTCATTTCTTCATTACATCTTCTCTGTCCTGCTGGTGTATTTCCACAGTGTGTGCAACTGTGGCAACACACTGTGTCCCACACTCAGCGGGAAACTCCGTACTCAGTGAGCGCTCACTGACGTTTCAAGCCCGGAACCCTAACGAGGGCGGCTTGGTCCAGTGCTGAAGAGGTTGCTTCAGGTGGGGAGGGAGACGCCACTGAACAGGGCTTTGTGCTGTGCTCCGCAGGCTCGCCTGAAGAGGACCGGTACTCACGGCTGAGTGTGAGTGGCACGGCCACGCCGTCGCTCCAGAGGCACCGGGACAGCCACACGACTCAGGTAGAGTGCCGCGTGTCCACTCCACTTTCAGCATGTTGTGACCCGGAGCTCACTTTTCCCCTCCTCTGCCCTAAGCTCTTCAACCCAACTTCCCTCCTCTCTCCCTACTCACTCCAGGTTTCTGCTTGCAGAAAAAAATAGAGAGAATATCCAAACCCCGTAAAAATCAATAAATATTTTAAAGTAAAACATCATGGATGTTTTAGGTGACGGTGATCTCACAACTGCTAAATGACAATATTTTCTGAATTTGACATCAGCTAAAATAGGCAGCGGGAAGTGGCCGCAGCATGGACAACTCGAAGCCCTGTGGCCGGCCATTCAGCCCCACAGGCTCCATGCAGTCCAGCCCCGTCTGGGCCACAGCACAGGACGGGAGCTCCATGCATCGCGTGAGAGCACAACTCACATCGCTGTTTGTGCAGCTCATGGATCTCATGTCCACACTCGTGGTGGTTGGCCCTAAAAATGTCACCAAATAAGGTTTATTCAAGAGAAAACAAAGACATGAGCATTTTTTGAAATATGAAAAATTTATGTAATAGGGTGTTCTTTTCTCTTAATGTTGATTTTTAAGTCCTACTTTTAATAATTATCTTTTAAAATGATGTGGCCTTGCATTTAGGGTGCTGCCCGACCCAACAATTAGGGCGCTTATTATCAACACATTAAAATACTGTTGCTTTAGCAACAGGATTCTCAGCTTCGATGAAGTTCCAGTACAGTTTGTATCATGTCAAGCATCTACATAGAAGCTGAAAATGTCTCAGCTGAGAATCCACATGTTCCCGTGAAATCAACTGTCCAGCTAGTAATCATCAGGATATCTGGAATTAGGTAGGCGTGGCCACATTGCCAGCTGAGATTTCCCAGATAACACTGATGAAGTCCTGAGGAAATCAGTGATTTCAGTCTTAGAGTGTGCAATCTGCTAGAACCACTTGTGCTGATGTCTGGACGCTGAACTAGCGAGAAAATGCTGGTGGTAGTAAGGGAGTGTCCTGCTGTCCCCTGTGCTCCTTGGAGATGCATCTACTCTGTGATCATTCACAGAGGAACCTACTCGTGGCGAGACGGGTTGGGTTTTTACTGTGGAGTTGACTCCTCCAGCTCACAGCACGGTAGGCCATCCGCCATCTTTTCCAGGGCTTCCACTACAGTGTGGTTCATAGGGAAAAGGAGTGATTTTGAGGAACGTTTCCTCCCAATCTTTCAGGGATTTGCCTGAGAAGTAAGGAGAGATGGGAAAAGACTCGTTTTCTCTGGGTTTTGAAGGGGCCCGTTTTCCGAGGCCGACTCCTCTGATGATGCAGAAGCTGCTGGTCATCTTACGTACTTTCCTTCCCCGAGTAAGTGGAAGGCCATGCTTCTCTTCCATGCAGATTGCGACCTCACCCTCGAGGACAGGTTCTTCAGGGCCGATACACTGGGAGAGTGATGTGACCCTGAGATCCAGAGGCCACACATCTTCCAGAAGCTCTCTCGTGAGGCGTTTATAGGGCAAGTTAGACACAGAGAGGCAGGTTTTCCAGCAATGGAATTCAACAGAGATTTCATGAAGAAAGTCAGTCCTGGATGCGTTGGTCCTAGAGCAGTGAAGCCAAATAGGGAACAAGAATTGAATCCCTCTCTGAGGACGTCAGGGCTGTACCCGGCTATCATTTAATGGCATCCTTTTAAGGAGCCGTGACATGCACGGGCATTATTGTAGATGAGAGGAGAGAGATGTCGTGCTGTGCGTAGGATCACCCAGAAAGTTCACTGAGGCTGGGTGGATGTCCGCTCGTGCACCCTGTTTCTGGAATGAACTAGCCATGAGCCACTAAAAGGAATGGAGGAGTCATCTTTCATAAATGTGAATTTATGAAAAAATTTTGGGGTCAAGATAAAAGACTAAGCAGCCTTCTTGGTGGTTTGTGATTTGGTGTTTTGGCTGTTGGTCTCACTTTTCAGTTTCTTACCCACCACAGTGAAGATGTAAAGGGAGAGCTGTCCCCTCCTACTTCTCCTCTGACAGCTGGACAGGTACTGGAGATAGGCTCAGCCTACCTACCAAGGATGTGTGGTGAGATATAAGGGACGAACAGAATGGACGTGGCGCCTTGGGTGGGGACAGTGCAGATCTGGGGCTCCACCCAGCGACAGCAGTGTTTGTCAGAGTGCCTCTGCTGCCTGGCGTCTCTTCCACCAGCCCATCTACCCACCTTTCCTCCAACTTCCATCTGCTGGAGATGTCCAGAGTTAGTTCTGTTGCTTGCAGAGAAGAATTCTGTCTGAAACACTAATTTAATTGTTATTACTTATCAAATCCATGTTACATTCAAGAAGTATTGTTTTATCCTAAGTGTATAGACTCTTCATTGATATTTATTTTTTTCATTTATTTTTAATATGGTGTAGAACACTTTATAATAGGAGCAGAGCCTTGATAAATGGTTGTTGTTTCTTTTATTGAGATAACAACACACAGAAAATACAGTTTATGTTGTATTCCATCATAACCTTTTATTAACTTGCCAAATATAAGTCTTTGCATGAAAGTAGTAAAAAATGAGTTTATTAAAAGTAGTCAAAAATAGTGTAAGTTGGGGTAGTAACTGAGTCATAAAAGCAGCTGTGCCCATGTGGTCCTTATATAGAAGGCTCAGTAGGTCCATCCTGTGAACCATGATAAATATCCATGACCTTCTGCAGCATGGGCATAAATACCACCAACAGTGAACATATGACATCATGGAATTCCACACACTGGTTCTCAAATCTGAAATCTCATAGGTTGGAGAAGTATCTTGAGTTGGTTTTGAAATTAGCATTTACAGAAACAATGTGACATCTATCTACTTAAATCTTAGGAGTTTTTTGAAAGTTTGTGCTATTTGGCACAATGTACTTGGAAGTTGGGGGAATGGACTCCACAGTGAGTGACATACCATATCTCCATCCCAGGATGGCTTTTTGCTCTCTGCTGTGAGCACATCCCTCTGCTGACTCACGGAGCCCGGGAACCTGACGCAGGATTATAAATAGAGCCATAGCATGAAAGCTGGGGGAGGGATGGGGCAAAACAACGGGGAGGCAGAAGGGCATGGATCAAACCTACTGCCTCTGCACACCCTCAGCAGAAGCCTTGCCGCTTACAGGCCTGTGCGGGGTTCCACTATTGACGCTGAAAGATGAGGTGTTTCCTTTGGTTCTTCTGAGCGGGGCTGATGTGCCTTTAACTGACCATTAGCTTGACCAGCCTGGCCTTGCATCTTGGTTTCCTCAGCTGCCTGCCCCTGTGGCAATGCTGCCCACGTCATGAGCTTTCATTTTCATTTTGGGCATTTATCATATTTCTTCTCAAACTTTAAAAATTTGCTTTTTGAAAGAATGAAGTTATTGTGAATATCGGTTACATTCAAATATTCATCACTAGAATCACTGATAGTCTTCGCTAAAACAGTGGTGATCCAGTGCCCAAGATATTAATAAATATGTAACCCACCACTGATATAGCTGCCGGTGACAGCCATAATATGATCCAGGTACAGCTGATCCACATCCAGAAACAAATAGCTCTGTGGTTGGTTTTACCAAACCATTAAAGAAACCTCCTTGTAATGTCACATATCAACAAAATTAAGAGTTGCAGGCTACTCAATAAATCCAATACTTTTCTATATTCTCTTTTTCTCATATGGATTGATCTACATACTTTATCAGATGGAATCAAAACAAACTGTGTGCTAGATGAAATAATACCAGGGAACAGCAAGTGGATGATCCTCTCCGAAGGATCCACTTATCATCTATCAGCTACTTGCCTATTATCTCTCTCTGTCCACCTACCCGTCTGTCTGTCATCTATCTATCATCATCTGAGCTGTGAACAGAGGAGGCCTCAGGTGAAGACTCTGTCACACACCTGGGTCTTCCGAGGACCAGTGGTCTTCACTGGCGATTCACCTGTTAACCGCAGGAAACGTAGGTGGCAAGTTAGTTTGAAGGTCTGAGTCAAACAGGAGAATTTTCAACAGGGAAAGGGCAAGTCCTGTATAGAAATTTGGAAAATAAAAAATTTGAACATTTTAATTTAATTTAAAAATTCTATATTTATTCTTTTCCATTATTATATACATATATATGGTATATTAAAATGCTGTGCTTCTAATTGACTCTTATCAATAAGGAGAATTCAATCATAAGAAACATTGAAAGAGTGAGAAATCAGAGTAGTGGCTGATTTTTACTAAAGAAGAAAATGGCCTCGTGGTACCTGCACACACTCCGCTTCCAGATGGGCAACCCGCAGTTAGCAGGCATCTGTGCAGGAGAGAGGGACGCAGCTGGAAGATATGTGTAGTCCTGCTGACTTCATTCAATAGTATGTGGATTAAATTATTCAAATTAAAGAAAGAGGAGAAAAAGAACTGAAGAAGAATCCCACGTCCGTTAACATGTGGGCATAGAAAACAGCAAGTATTTTTCAGGTTATTTAAAGAATATGTGTGGCACGCCTAGCATGTTGCCTGCAGGCGTGAAAGTTCAGAGAAATGCCTGTCATGGTTATCATGACGTTCCCCTCTCCCAGGGTCTGTATCCTGAACACCAGTTCTGAATGGGACATAGCGGATGTTACCTAAAATAGGTAGGAGATCGTATAGTACCAACAGAACCCAACGGCTAACTGGGATTTGATAGAACCTATCCTGTGTGTCGTTTGAAGCGGAATTCTATTATGTGCTGGTATGCCTTTATGGAAAAACACAGCAGGTGGTGAAACAGCCAGCTACAGTGTGTCTTGCTGTTTTGTTGTGTGAGGTTTCGAGCTAGATTTTTAAGCACAGTATTTGAATTCTTGACTCCATCCTGCCACAGAGGAATGCATCATTGTCCTGTGGTTAGCACAGCACCTTCTCCATGCCAGACTTTGACTAAGCAGAGTTATGTCCCTAATCCTGTTCTACCCATGAAAACTAGCCAGTGCTGGGCATCCCCTTAATAGGTTAAAAAAATGGGCTGCTCTCCAGATTACTGGATTATTCTGGAAATGGTTATTATGTTGTTGGGATGGTGTTTAGTCAGCTTTTTCACTGCTGAGGACGAAGAGTTTATTTGAGGGCTCATAGTTTGAGAGGTCTTAGTCCATAGAAGGCTGGCTTCATTCCTCCCTGCTAGAGGTGAGGCTGAACATTAGGGTGGGAGGGGGTGGCAGAGGGACGCAGCTCACATAACCGTCCTCAGGAAGAGACTCTGCTCTCCAGATATAAAATATACCCCCAATTAACCACTTCAACCATACCCCTCGTGTCTCCAGTCACCACCCAGTTAATCCAATCAGGTATCAATTCACTGACTGACTGTCACAACCCCAGCATTTTTCCTCAGAACCTTCTTGCGTTGTCTCACACTTGAGCTTTTGGGGGACACTCACATCCAAACCGTAACATTCCACTCCCATCCCCCAAAGCTCTCATTTATCTGACAATGCAACATACATTTAGTCCATTTCCAAGAGTCACCATGCCCTCAACAGTTCTGGGATTGTCCACAGTTCAAGTCCAAAGTCTTCTCTGAAACTCAAGGCAATCTCACATGTGAGCTCCTATAAAATTAAAAGCATTTTACAAATTTACAACATATAAAGGTACTGAGCACACATTTCCATTTACAAAAATAGGGGCATAGAAGTAAGGGATGAGACCAAAGCAAGACGGAAACCCAGCTGGGCAAACAGGTCCTGCAGTCCTGTGTCCTGCATCTGGAGCACAAGGCATCATGATGCTGTCTCCAAAGGGCTCGGGTAGACCTGCCCGGTGGCCTTGCAGGCTCCAGTGGTCTCTCAGTGGGCTTGTCTCTGCTCGACTCCTCCAGCTTTCCCAGGATAATGCCCCACATACTGGCATTTCTTAATCTCAGGGGTCTCCACTGTGGCTTCCTCCTCACATCTCCACACCTCGACTCCTCAGCGGGCGTCTGTAAGGACCCTGACCCTGATGTACTTTGTTTGGCCTCGCAGGTCTTCCTTTGAAATCTTGGTGGGAGCCTCCGTGAACCCCTAACTCCAGCATCCTTCATTCCTGCAGAACCAGCACCACGTGGTAGACACCAGGGTCTGCCACCATCTCGGGCACCCTGGCTGCAGCAGCCTCTGAGTGTCTGGGTGGCTGAGCCTGTTGAAAAAAACTTCCTGGGCCCCTTGTGGAAGAAGGGCTCTCCACTGGTCTCTTCTCAAGAGGATCCTCACCTTTACTCCCCAGAGTTTGAGACAGGTGTGATCTTGCCAGCTCCTGAGATGCCCTCAAGCCCTCTTTCTTACTGTCTCTGGGCAAAGTCTTTAGCATTGCTGTAGTGGGTAGAAATGTCTTTAACAGCTGCAACTTCCTTAGCCCTGTTCCACTCCAGCTTTTCAAGTCCATGCCTTGCTTTCTTCTCCTGATTATCACAATAAATTTGGTAAAAACCCCCAGCAATACCCCTCCTACCGCCTGAATGCTATGCTGCCTAGAAATTTCTTCTGTCAGACTAAGAAGTCCATCACTTTTAAAATCAGCTTCAGAGAAAGTCTCAGGACACAGGCAAACTGCAGACAGCTTCCAGCCAGAACACAATACAAATGGCCTCTACTCCAAATTCCAATAGAGTCCTTTTCTGAGCCCTGTCACTGACCACAGTCCTATCAGCATCCGGGTCTTCTGAGCTCCCACCACAATTGGCCATTAATCTCTGCTTATAACAATCTAAAGCATTTCTATCCAGCACTGCTAAATCTCAAAATTCCTCCTACCAGTGCCAAAATGCTCAAAAAGCTTCTAAACCACATGGTCAGGTTAATCACAGCAACAACCCCACTTCTCAGTACCAATTTTTGTTTTAGCCTTTTCACTGCTGTGACTAAAGGACCTGACCAGCACAGTTATAGAGGAGGAAGAGTTTATTTGAGCGCTCACAGTTTCAGAGGTCTTGGTCCCTTGAAGGCCAGCTCCATTCCTCAGGGCTAGAGGTGAGGCTGAACATCATGGTGGGAGAGGGCGGCAGAAGGAAGCAGCTCACATCACAGTGATGAGGAAGCAGAGAGAGAGACTCCACTCTCCAGATACAAATATATACCCCACAGCCATGCCCTAATTCCCACATCCTGCACACACACCTCACCTGCCTCCAGTCACCACTCAGTTAATCCCATCAGAGATCAATTCACTGATTAGGTTAAGCCTCTCAACAACCCCATCATTTCTTCTCTGAACCCTCTTGCATTGCCTCACATGTGAGCTTTTGGGGGATACCTCATATCCAAACCACAAAAGATGGTTTATCAAGATGGTTTATCGTATATAAATATGATATATTATATATATTATATATATAGCTGGACACAATACCTTTATTTTATTTATTTTTATGTGGTGCTGAGCATCAAACCCAGCATCTCGCACGTGCTAGCCAAGCGCTTTACAGCTGTGCCACAACCCAACGCCAGCCCCAGATGGTTTATCTTTTCCATCTTGAATCAGGTGCTCTCATTGGGTGTTTTACGGTGAGAATTAATTAGTTCTAGGTGAAATGCACAAGCCTTGGAGTTGAGGGGCCATGGTGGGAGGAGTTTCTGATGTCATGCCCCTCCCTGGCCACTCCCAATCTCAGGGGAGGCACCACTGCCACAGGGAGCCCTGGTTGTCTCCTTCATGTCGGACAGGCAGCTGGACTTGGGATCTGTTGTGTGTGGTCCATGCACAACCTAATCAAGTATCCTCATGGAAGATGCCCGGAGACGGGTGATGCTAGTGACTGTCAGCCACACTCTCCAGGTGTGAGTTCACCTCCTGCACTCAAGCTTTTCTCAAAAGCAAGTTTTCTGCAAACGTGGGCAGTGCTTTCCTTCAGAACAGCGTGTCAACGATGTGACACAGTGGAGGGGAAAGGAGAAGAGCCAGATTGCCATGTCGCTGTGACCCAGTGAAAATGCCTCTCTCCTGATGGCCAAATGGGTGGCGGGAGCAACGTCCAGAGCTGCCCTGAAAGGGGAGGGCTGAGCTGCTGCTGGGTGTGGACATTCTGAGCAGGTGGCTGTTGCCAGAGCCTGCCCAGAAGCTCCAGTGTCTCACACCTGTGAGCGGGAACAGGGCTTCCCATTTCTGGTGGTGCTCGGCTTGATGATTCATTTTACTTCCTCACCACTGTGCCCCGGACACCAGGAGGTGCGCATTCCTGGCTGCTGTCAGTGCCTTGGACCTGCGACTCCCCGCACGTTCCTTTCCTGTTTCCTGATGGCTCTGGGGGACTTTCTTGATGGTTTTAGGAATTCTTTAATATTCTGGATAACATTCCTTTCTAGCTTCCTGCTTGGCAAACACTTTGCTTATTTTGTTTTTTTCTGATCAGTTTAGCTGGAAGTTTATCACTTTTATTGATCTTTTAAAAAACTATCTTTTGATTTTATTGATTTTCTCTGTTTCTTTGCTGTTCCATTGATTTCTGTTTTCCTGTTTACGATTTCTTCTCTTTTTCTGGTTTCTTAAGTAGGTAGCAGAGATCATTGATTTGAGGTGTTCTGTTTTTTTCTATGAAAGTAAAATGTTGCAGTTTTTTATGGGAACACTGTATTAGCTAATCCTACCACTTTTGATGTATCTTATTTCCATTTTCATTCAATTCACAATATTTTCAACTTTCCCTTGGGGCTTTCTCCTGGACCAGTGTTGCCTACTTTCCAGAAAGCTGGTAGTTTTCCGATAACGTTCTGCTACTGATTTCTGGTGTGATTTTGGTATGATCTGAGAAAATGCCTTGTGGGATACAGTTTTCTTAAATTTCAGGACTTGTTTTATGGCCCAGGGAGGTTTCTCCTTGTGGAACGTGCTTTTGAAGAGAGTGTGTGTTGTGCAGTCACCGGGCAAAGTGTTCTAGAAACATCCATCAGGTCATGGTAATTGATGGCATTCCGTTCTATGTTCTTGCTGATTTCCTCTCTCCTTTCCCTGCCCATCGCTGGTAGAAGAGCCCAGGAGTCTAGCTTTGGCTTCAGTTTCTTTCCCCAGCATCTGCCCCAGGAGGGTAGAAGTGCTGTTGGATGTCGTGGGCATGAGGATCATCAGGACCCTGGTGAAGCACTTACTTCTTCATCCATGACACTCCTCTTTCTGAGTTCTCTTGTCTGTGTGAAGACAGACGCTTGTCATTCTGTTGACCGTCATCTACACAGAGTGCCTTCATTTCTTTCCCAGGGCTCTGTGAGATGCTCTTCCTGTGCCACCCAGTGTGTGCTGGTGGGCTTCTGGAGTCGTGGCCACCATCACCATGGAACCTGAGGACCTTCCATCCCCTCCCTTCACAACTCCACCTTCGACTTTGAAAGTCTTGGTCTCTGTAATTGACGGGGTTTGTTGGAGGTGGCATACAGGTGGCTCTTGTTGGTTTTTGTTCCGTCGGATGAGCTTTGGATGGGCCGTTTTTGTTTACATGTGATGTGATCATGGATAGAGGTGGATTCAGAAGTCCCTGTCATGCTTCCCGTCTGTCCCACTGCTAGTTTCCCTCTGATGACTTCCTCTTGGATACCTGAAAGCTCTGGAATGTTCCGCCTGGCTTACCCACTGCCCTCTTGGCTCCTGGGTGTGTGCGGTTGCTTTGGTGATGGCCAAAGACGTGTGTAGTTGCCACCTGTTTACAGTCAGCCGCAGCACGGGCCCCTCAACCTCCACACAAGGAGAGAAGGGTTGGCCTGCAGCTCTCAGTCCCTGGTCGGTGCTCCTGCGCTCCTCCTCTCTGCAGACCCGAGTTTCCCTCCAGCCAGCTTTAGTGTCAGCCGAAGGGTCTCCTCCAGGAATTCTCTTAGAGTTAAACCGGGGCCTGCCATTGTTCTCCCAGGTGGCCCTCCAGGACCTGATGTGTTGGCCTGCCTTTCTGATCCTCAGACAGCAGTGTTTGCACTTCCCCAGGTCCTGCTGTAACCTGGGGGCTCGGCTGCAGTGGGCTCATGCGTCTTCATCTGGTTTCCACAGTGTCCCGTGCGCGTTTACAATGTTCCTGTAGTCACACCGATGGGCCCTCGCAGTCGGGGTCTGGCTCTCATTCTGTTTAAGAAAACCTCCTGTGTATGTACTTAAAAGGAAACGAAAGCCCTTCTTACCCAGCTGCCTGCCACAAAGTTATGCCCCTCTGTATTTTTTTCTGTAAGTTCTGTTTAATTTTGTAACCTGTAGGGTCTAAGCTTCCTGGACTTTTCTCGTACGATCGATGTAAGTCAGGGTGGAATTTTACAGTTTTCTGTAGAGCGTCCATGGCTGCACACGTGTCAGCGTAAGGCCGTGGCTGTGACTCCGTCCTAACGCAGAAGGGCGCAGGCTGCCAGCAGGGGTGTCCATGCTTACCCACGACTCCCCGGCTCTCCTTCGGGATCTCCCTCTCTCCAGGGCTCCCTGAGCCTGCCTCTATCGTGTTGCTCCCACAACTCTGTTTCTCTGTGCGACTTATTTTGTGGTATGACATGTGAGTGTGTGTGTGTGTGTGTGTGTGTGTGAAGAGCCCGATGGACTCTTGAACTTGTAGTGAGTGCACCAAATGCAGCTTCGTGTCTTCTGTGTCACAAACGTATTCACTTGACAGATTGCTGCTCAGTGGAACCGTCGGCCGGTGGCAGCCCCAGGAGAGTGAAGAGAAGCAGACAGGCACCACATGACCTCACTCTCCTGAACCTCTCCCGCCCCAGCCCAGGTTCAAACACCCCAGTGAACTTGGCAAGCAGGGCTGCAGGCAGCTGCATCTCTAGAGAGGATTTGAGCGGAGTCACATTTCATGTGCTGACTGACTTCAAAAGTTATGTAACTTGAAAGTCACATGCCAACTCGGGAAGATTCCTTACATTGTCCAAAAAGAACAATACACATGGCTTTCCTGTGGGTAACTCCACAGTTACATGTGCACAGTACCTATGTCGCGTGAGACAGCAAAGCGTATGGCAGGGTGTGCCTGGCATTCTGAATTCCACGAGAATGGACTGCATAAAATTGAATTTTCAGAGATTTGTTCATTCACTGGTTCACCTACAAATACCTGTGGAGAGCCTACCTATGCCAGGCACAGGTGTGGGCACTCACAAGACCTTGGTCTGCAAAACAAACATCCTTGCCCTTGTGGAAGGTAAATTCTGGCATGAGAAAGCAAATAAGCCATGTTTAGGTAAAACATAGGATGCACCGTAAGGTGATAAAACAGGGAAAACAAATGCCAAATGGGGTTGGCCGGATGGGAGAGTCCAGAGCGGGTGGAGGATGATAGGGTGGAGTTGCAGCTGTAAATCAGGAGGAAAGCGGCGAGGAGCAGAGAGGCAGGGCAGAGGTCAGGGTGCCCCGTGCTGGGGTCCAGGGGAGCCTCCCAGGTGGAGGGTGTGCCTGAACTGCAGGAGGGCCAGGTGGCCGGGTGAAACCTCTCTGCCGGTACAGCGTGTAAGCTGAGTTGAAATGACCATTAGTTGTAAGTGTTGAGTCTCAGAAAGTGGAAGTTTTCACTTCTAAGTGGGAGCAAGAGGCTACTTCTAAAACGTCTGTTGTGGCTGGCTTTCTTCAACCCTGACTGTTCAGAATGAAAGCAGAGGGTAACACTTGCCTTGTCTGTGAGTGGGAAGTATTAGACGTGTTCCTCTTTTCCTGCTTACACCTAGGGATGAGAAAGAAGACTCCAGAAGCCGGAGTCCATATTTCCTGACAATTTGAAAGCAAAATTGGGGCTCAGATAACAGAAAGGCCCCCCTTGTGGGGCGATATCACCCACTCACTGTGGTGCGGGATCTCTTTTGTGACCTGGTGGACCTGGTAGGTCTGGCTCTTCCCCGATTTCTCTGACTGCATTCGTATTTGACACTGTCATTGTGTATTTCTGACTCTGTCAGAAACTGGTTCTACAACAGATGAACCGTGATGTTGGAAAGTGTCATAAAGTCAATGATATAAAACGCCCAGAGTTTGAAGCCCAAGTGGGCGTAGACTGATTCCACGCACTCACCGGGGATTCCTGTCACCCATTTGGGAGGAAGCCTTGATCAGCAGCCCGCTCTCACTCCTCCTTGGCACGCCCTGTGCTCTCTCCCTTCATCCCCCTCACACCTCTTCCTTCCCTTCATCCCTTTGGCCCCCAGGAGAGTGCTGTGTCTTGAAGGGACTCGAAGACACCCTGAGGTCCCAGCAGCAGCTGCTGCGCCTGCCAAACCCCTCCCTCCTCTTCTCAGGAACGGAGGAGACCAGGTTTCTCTGGGTGGGAGCGGGAGCAGGAGCAGTCACGGGAGGGGACCAGCCACTGCACTGGGAGCCACAGCCAGGGGCCCCGGCTCCCGCTGCAGCGGCACAGACTCCCTTGCCCACCTGGGGTCCTCCATCCCAGAGCGCCACACGAGTCCCGCAGGAACCAGGAGGAGGCCGGGCGCGCTCAAGGCACATGGAAGGCATCCACTCACGGGCTCTGGCCTTACCTTAGTGTGAACAGCCACTGACCGCCTCTGTGTCCAGCTGCCGGCAGAGTGAACTGGGTGGCCCCCTGGTCCTCTTCACATTTGTCTGGGTGACTATTTTATCGCTGCTGCTGAACGTTATTAAATGTAGAAGTTTATTAGCTTAACTTAATCTCCATTATTTAGAATCCTTAATTACTCTTTTAAGTTAGTGAAAATGATGCTTATTCATATCTTCCAATGTTAGGATTATTGGAATACTGCTTATCAGAAGTTTTAATAGAAAATGATGAACAGTAGTACTCCCAGCTCACACTTCTCTCTCTCTCTCTCTCTCTCTCTCTCTCTCTCTCT